TAAATACGGCAGATTGGCAGATCTCTCATTATAATGGTTCTGTACGTCGTACCCTTTTGTTTGTTCTTCCCCCAACCAATTCCAAAAATACATTTTCAATTCAAATTCCGTTGACATTATAAAAGATGTTTGTAATGCTCTTATAAGTGTGTTTGATGTGACCGACTCCTATTGTTCTGTTTTTTGTTTGCCTATGCACGCATTTGTATGCCCGCATGTGACTCTATAGTCTCAGATACTGTTTAGCCATGTCTCCTGTGTCGTGTCAGTCTCGTGTTGTTCCTCCTTTTGTTTTCCACTCTGCCATTTATTAGTCCTTCAACTTTTATTGACTTTCCTATTCCTTATTTTTATTCCGCCCATAAAATCAAAGCCTTTTTCACATTTGATTCAATTCTCTCCATTCCTTGTTTTCTATTTTTTTTTATTTCGAATAATTGTGTTAAATCTATGGTTTTACTAAACTAGTATTTATAATTATTCAAATTTACTATTTGAAGTTATTGTACTTTACTATTTAATTAATATTGTATTTCTTTTGTGGTAATTTCAAGTTTCTTTCTGTTGTTCACTTCTATCAGAAAAACAATACAGTTGGGCCATTAAACCTTCGCCCAGCAAATTAACCTTAGTTCAAAAAAAAACTAATTATTTTCTATTGTTATATTAAAATAATAAACTATACCAATATAAAAGTCAATTTTCTAAAATATTTGTTTTTTTAGTAAAAACCCGTGTTTTTAAAGAAAAATATCGGAATTACTTTGTCTAAAGTACATTTCCTGGGCTAAGGTTCATTTCCCCTACTATAGTTATGAGTTATTAATAATAACTAAAACTTTATTCCAAAAATCTAGTGGTAATGGTTTGAAGTTCTCTAGTTATTTTGTATTCTAAAGTATAGTTCTAGTATTTGACCAAATTTCAGTCTTTAACTATCCATTATAGTACTATTATCTATACTGTATAGTTAAGATTTAAAAAAGTTTCAGTCTTGTAATTATTTGTTATTCGAGTGAACCATTACAAATAGTACTCATCACAGTATTATCTGTAATGGTTTAAATAATAATAAAATGACGAACACTAGAATAAAATTTTCATTTGTTTCTGGATTGCATCGGATAAGTTCTTCTTGTTAACCTCTCCAATGAGTCTCCCATTTGACGTGACAAAAGCAGAGTCAATTTGTGCGGCGATGAACAACATATGAATTTCACTGAGTGGTGTAGACCTCAACAAGTGCAATGGGCTTTCTTGGTAGTCCAACAAGAACTTACTAGCGACGGATTCTGGCATATCAGAGTCGGATATTTTCCTGAGTACACTGAGTTCTATTTGCCCCAAAAGAATAGAGTTCTCTAGATGATGAGTCAATGCCTTTGCCCAAATGAATTTATTAATAATAAAATAATAATAATATAATAATATAATAATAAGAAAACAAACCAGTGTTATTGACGACGGGAAGTAATTTCTCTGTGACTGTTTTATATGCGTCGACAATTTCCTTCAATTCCACTATATTTGTAAATTCGGGCACAGCAATTAAATTAGTTTCCATGACGTTGTCAGCTGTTTGGTGTGACGAATATTGAATGTCAGGGATATGTGGCAGTTTCTTATCCATTGAAATTCTGTCATACACGCTCACTGTTAACAATCGACTCAATGAAATAGTGACTACGGTCGCAATAAGCATCGGAATAATCAGTTGAATGTTGTCAGTGAGTTCCATCAATATGACTGCAGAGGAAAAAGTTTGTGTTGTAGCACCTACAAAGCAAGCTCCACCAATTATAGCCAGTCCGGACGGGCCAAGTTCATTTGACACTCCGAAGTAGACCATCCATTCCCCAATGAGTCTTCCCAGAATAGATCCTATCAGTATATTCGTTGAAAAGAGACCAGCTGGGACGGGGATTGACACTGACATTGCAATTAAACAGAACCGTGCGATGAATGTGAAGAATAGAGTGAGCATATAGTGATACCCAAATTCGCTTTCCAACGATTCGTTTGAAAAAAGAATATTCAATGTGTTGTTTGTTGATAATGACAGTGGTGATCTCTTTCCATTCCACGGGGCAGTGACGGTAGCTGTCAACAGTGCGACTAAAAGTAAGTAGAAATAAGGCGGGCGCCCAAACTTATATTTTCGAAGAAACTGTCGTGTATGGAAAACAGCAGAAACGGTAAAGACAAAGAGAACTGCAAAGCATCCGCAGACGATTCCTGTGAGTATCGAGAGTAAACTGTCTTTGAATAAGAGTGGATTGAATGTATAATCGATACTTAAAAGTCCCATATAGAGTGATGGTCGATTGATATATGTGTTATATATTGCTCGGAATGTAAACGCAGCAATCACCGAACTGAACGTCCCAAACCAATAATTTCTGACTGGATAATATGTTGCTGTGACTTCAACAGAGAAGAGAAGTCCTCCTATTGTTGTACCAAAATTCGACGATACACCACACCCGCAAGCCGTCGATAAGATTTGCATGAACAACTCATTTGATTCTCGAAGAAAATGGAAGATAGGTATTCGAGTGAGTTGGACTGCAATACAAGACGCGATGTGAATGAAAGGTCCTTCCTTTCTAAGTGTTAATATTTGTTAATATTTATTAATATTTATTAATATATAATATCAGTAGAATTGAATTGAAAAACAAACCCCGCCCATATCCCACAGCCTATCACTAAGACTAACCCAACGACTTTGGCTACCATTGTTCGAAAGGTTAGTAAATTTGGTAATTTATTACCTAATAATGTCACTTTCATCTCCGATACCCCAGACCCCGCAGCAGCAGGAGATACAATTCGAGTCCAAAAGAACGCAAGAGTGACAAAGAGAAGAGTGAACGCGATCCATATAAAGATCGAATAGAAGATGTTGTCATACACAAAAGAAATATAATGTTTCAAGCGAAATAACTGCTCAATGGAAATGTCCATCGCAACACCTACTAAAGCAGAGAGAAGCCCTAAGATAGCTAAGTAGAGAGCAGAGACGTGAATAAGGGTCCCTTTAAATCCACAGATTTGAAAGAGAGCTAACTTCTTTATCAAGTTAAAGACCTTCCCGTGCTTCTTCACGACTTCTTCACCTTTTCTCTCCGCAGAAATCTTCACTAGAACGTTGTCTAAATTCGTGGCGGAAGGGTCTAGGTCTTGGATCTCATATAACTCAAAAACATCACTTTGATTGAACGGAGATTCTTTGTCAATGATGTGATCTTCGGGGGTGGGGGACTCGGGAAGTTTTGTTTGAAGGAGATATGTCTTTTGATCCATTCACCTTGCTAAAATAGTTAGTGATTATCATCGTTTTTTCTTAGTAATTTTGCATCAAATTTTTACTTCGAAAATGTGGGACTTTTGGCGGATGTTTGGCGCTATGATTCGGGATTACCATAATTTCAATTTATATTAATATATTTGAAAAGGTTTTGATTTCATTTTGATACGTGTTTGTTCCAATCTCACCATTTTTAACAGATTGACAATTTTTGATTTGTATAACCTGCCATTGAAATTGAAAATATCCCGTTTTATTTGTGGGTTTTATTGTATCATTATGGTATAATAAGTGTCTAAAAATATTTTAAAAAAATTAAATATGAAAATACTTGCCGAAGTGAATATTAATATTTTTTAAATTATTAATTTACTATAACACAATCATTGTTATATGGTTTCGTTTTAGTTATTTTTTAACGTAAAATAATTTGGACCAATAACGGACCAAATAATGAGGTGTTTATTTACTTTAAAAAAAGTAAATAAATCATGATAATAAATGATAGTATTATTTATTATAAATTTATTATATTGTCAAATAAATAAATAGTTAATTAAAATAATAATTTTATTATAACAAATTGTAAGTTTAAAAATCAACAAGATGAACTTCCCAAAATTACACAATAACCCCGAAATATAAATAAAAATATTATAAAATATAACTAAAAAAATCATTTAGGAAGAAAAATGAAAAGAACTGAAAAATGAGAACTTGGGATTAAAAAAGTTGGAAAGAAAAAACATAAAAGGATTGAAAAAATTGGAAAAACAAAAATCAAAGAAAGAAAAAAAACTAAAAAATCATACTATTAGGATGTTATTACTACTCATCCCGTTATTTTACGCGGCGTGTGCGGACAACGAGGGCATCGTTGCCCAAGGCATTACCAGGATCAAAAATGGGATCAATTTGCTCGAGGAGAAAATGAAAGCGTTGGAAGCGACCGAGTTAAACATCATGAATGAGTTGGACGCAGACAACCAGGACTTGACACACGTTGGGTTGTCTTCCGATAGAAACAAGGCACGGCAGAAAGTAAGAGAGGAGCGGATTTCGTTGCGGAAAATCGCCCGTACAAAGCGACTTGTGTTGTCAAAAATGTATAAAATTCTTCGTGTGTTGTCACCACTCGAACAAAGCAGAGTTATTCGACAACTCAATTTATTGAACCGACTTCACGTGAACCACCTTGCACTTTTGGGTGTTGACGAAGCACGACTCGCATTTTCAAATAGCTATTTGTCATCGCCACAGGTCGACCAATTCCAACACGAGGGTATGATTGTTCAAGCAAATGACATGGGCGACTATTTGATGAAAACGAATGATGCAGACCCAATTGAAGTTCAAAAGAAAAAATTGGAAGACGTTGAGAAGGAGATGCAGCGACTCAACAGAAAATTTGAAGAAACCCCGTTTTTGAAGAACGCGATGATAAAAAGAAGTTCAGAACAATACAACAAATTGCTTGAGGAGATGGTTGTTAAAATAGAACAGGCGGTTGGACATAAAGCGAAAGAGAGTTACGAACTTGCAAAGAAAATCGACGACAACGTTGAAAAACTTGAGATGAACATGGACCTGATGACCGAGAAGAAGAGAACAGAAACTTTGAAACAAATTCGATTGATGAAAAAACAGAGAGAAAAAATGAACAACGGAGTCAACGAGTACAGAGCGACTTTAAATAAAATGATGAAGAAACTGAAAAGGTCAAGCTTGGCTGTGGTAAAAGCGGCGAAAAAAGTTGAAAGGACAAACAAAATATGTTCAAAGGGAGTTTCAGAGAAACAAGTTGTTAAGCGTGGCATTGACGAGGTGGTTGACAAAATTGCGAAAAAGGCTGGAAAGATGATTGACACGAACATAAAGAAAAACGAAGTGAAGAATGTCGATTTGAAAAACATTGTGAGAACGGCACCAAAAACACAGAACGCGACTCAGACTGTTCAAAACAACAAAAAAGAAGAGAAAAAGGTCAAAAAAACCATCGAGCAAATTATCAAAGAAACTGCGTGTGACGAAATGAAAAAAATCAGAAATGAAAATTTGATGAAAATGAAACAAATGGGGAAGAAAGAGCAACAAAGAGAAGTTATCAAAGAGGTGAAGAGAGAATTAAGTGTCGACGTTTCGAAGGCTGGCATCGAAAAGTCGCTGAAGAAGGCAAAAGAGGCTGTAAAGAAGGTCGACAAAATGACGGAACTCTTCAAGGAAATGGCAGCAAGCAAAGAAATGATTGAGGAGGAAGTCAACACCGCTCTCGAAATCTAAGCCAATTTAACCATCTTTTATGTGTTTTTTGGAGTTTGGTGTTCATTTTTGAGGGATTGATAAGCAGTTAAAAGGTTATGATATTTTCTGTACAATAACATTTGTAATTGCCGTTTCCTTCTTTTTATTACTATTTTCAAGTTGTTTTTTAAGATTAATTTGTGTTGTTTTTACTTTCTTTAGTTTATTATATATTAATGTTATTATTCAGGTTGTTTTATAAATAATTATATAATTAAGTTTAAGTTTTTTTATTATTTCAATAGTTAATATTTTTTTAAGAAATGGAAAAGGCAATTAAATTATTGAAAATAATTAACTGTGTAAAACTCATTAGTTTTTTATTTAATTATTTATTATTGTTTAATGATAATCAAGATAATATGAAAAAAAATAAACAAAAAAGGTGTAAAACGCGAATGAATGGTATTGTTTGTCTCTTAATGCATCTTAAAAAAAAGAGACTTGGGGTGTGAATATTATGATTATATGTATTGGCAGTTAAAAATATATTAAAACAGGAAATATACCCTAATTACAAGAAATAAATTATTTTATGCCTCTTTAGAGACTTTACCAAATCACACAAAGTGCAGAAAGAGAGACAAATGAAAAAAAAAAATTCATTTATAATTCAATAATAATAAATATCAATTGTATTATAAATAATAATAATAATATACTAATGTTGATAACTAAATTTGAATAGTACAAATCAAATTTAATAATTACTAATACCATAAACAACTAATAATGAAATTATAAAATACTACCAATGATTTTATATCAAGAAGACTCTTCTTAAGTGTTTTATCAATTGTTAGACGCAATGATTGCGTCAAATATGACTTAACAAACGGGAAAAATAAGCCATATAGTAACCAATTGCATACCTTGCAAAGAGCCAAAACGATGAGAACAATTCGGTATTGGATAGCCATATATAAACAATTGAACTGCAATTCATCAATTGAATCTATAATGGCACGCGAACGTTTCATCATAGAATTTTGCAACGCGACCACAATGGTCAAAAAGAATACACTTCCTGTGAGTCGGTGTGTCAACATGACGATAGCGAACTTCCCCTCGCTTACTGCGCGGTCGGAGGAGTACCTGACTATCCTCTGGAAAATTACGACCAAAGGCGATGATGTGCCGAAAGATGTGTATGTGAGGACGATGCAATACTTAGACAACTTATACTTCAAAACGGGTGAATTGAACGGACAGGTCATCTTTACAGCAGCGTTCTTCACATTAGACAGTGATGGACAATACTCGTTGAACACTAAAGAGACTTCCGAGTACTTCAAACGCCTTGGCGACAAGAAGAGTATTAAAATGGTGTCGAGTTATATAAAAGAGCATGACGAGAATGGGGATGGGGTCTTACAATTGAATGAATTTCTGGATGCGATGAATGCAAGTTATAACATCAGTACTATCCCAACAGCACAATTTCTTCAAATGATTGCCTTCACCAATTATTACGAAAGATTCTTGTTAGTCCCTCAGAGCAAAGGGAAAGTCCTCCAAGAAGACATGGTCGACTATCTTCTGAAGAATTGCGAAGACAGAAGTGTCGTCCACAAACAATTTGTGGTGTTCATATTGTTGATGTGTAAAGACAAGAAGTACATCAGTCGAGCGGAGTACGTCGCTCTGTCACAACAACTCAATTTCATCACTACAAAAATCGGTAAATTGACAAACGAAGTCTTGATGACGTGTAGTTTTCGAGTCTTAGATAAGACCCTTTCAGCTTCTATAGACAAAGGAGAGTTGGCCAAGTTTCTTAAAGTCTCCGGGATGGAAAGTAAGAAGAGTGTTGTGTTAAAATATATAGAAGAGTTAGACGAGAACGGCGACGGAGTGTTACAAATTGATGAAATGTTGTCCATTTTAAAGGTCTTTGTGAAGAACCACGTCTTTAACACGGAGAAGTACTTAAACAACTTGAACGCGCGAACGTCCAAAGAACTTGTTGATTGTAAGAGTGACCAGAAAATTAAAGTACCAAGTCATTTACTTAATGTGAGTACAAGTCAGACACTAACGAAGATCCCGGAGAATTGCATCTCGTTAGATTTGTACATCTCAAGCTTCAAAAGTTCGTTTGAGAAACAATATCTTGACATCGAGAAGTTTGTCACGTTCTTATTTACTGTAGCAGATAAGAAGAACGAAGGCTATATCTTCAAAGACCAGTTCAATATGATCTTCCAAGTCGTTCAAGACAACAACGGAGTTGTCAAAAGAGACGAAGACCTCTTTAAGTTGTGTTTTGAATTAACGGAGTATCCGTCGAAGAAAGGGATTGACGTGAATGGGTTGATGACATTGTGCGCCAAATTGGACTCTCCGTTTGAAAGCGAGGAAGACGCGTTAAAGACTTTAGTGATGTACGACGACAACAGAAATGGGTGTATTGAAGTGGACGAGTTCATGTTGATGATGTTTGAGGACGACGACCCAAAGTTGGACGACAGCGAAGAAGTGACGAAACACAAGAACACGCGGATGGCTATTAAACTCTTCAGAAGTCATGATTTGGATCGTGATGGGTATTTGAATGAAAAGGAGGTGTTAAATGTGTTTGTAGTGATATGGGATACACTCTCTTCAACCGATCAAAAGGCTATTAAAATCGCTTTTCTGTTATATGGCGATGGAGACCGAATTGATGAAAATGGGTTCATTCAAATGTGTTTGATGTTCTTATACTCAATGGAAGACAACGAGGCAAGTAATATCAAATTTCTCTATGTCTTGAAGAATGTCTTCTACATGTTCGCAAAGAACGGAAACAACGTGATGGATAAAAACGAGTTGAAAACTTTACTCGAGAAGTTTAAACTGCCTGCAACACCTTATGATATTCAAAACGTGATGACAAAATATGGGATAGCTAATATGTTACCAATCGAACAATTTTCTGTGGTATTTCCTCAACTCTTGGGATATTAATATTTAGTTAAATTTTTAGTTAAATATTTAATATCTTCAGGTGTCTTATTTATTGTTTTCTGTGCAATTTTTTTTGTTATTTTGAAAATGGTATTTGTTTCACAATAAAATGGGTAAATAACAATTATAACGAATAATAATAATTAACTATACGATATTATTTAGAATTAATATTTTTTTTTGTTTTGTCATTTTTTGGAAACTATTTAAAATAGTTATAATAGTTATAATAATTAATAATAATTTTTCAAAGAAGTCGATATTTAAATAACAACTTTTATTTGAGAAGTTAATTATAAATAAAAATTTTATTTTTATTTTGAATTTTTAACATATTTTCTATTGTCAGCTGTTTATTTTGTGCAAAAACGGGATAAAAGGTATTATAAGGCATTCAAGACATTACGTACCCATTCATGAATAAAAATGTTATACTTATAGCATAATATACTATAATTAAGTATAATAAAAAGAGGATAGAATTGTGTGGAACTCATTTTGTCATCTATTTATAATTATGATGTTTATTAAAAGAAAAACTAAATATAAAACAAATATTACGATCCCGTTTTTGCAAAAAAAATTGCTCTACTTAAAAATGTTAAACCACATAACACAGATTATGAAAATGCCATATTTAAACAATATTTAATGAAATATTATTTTGTATTAATAAAATAATTATAATTAAATGGTAAATTATCCCAAAATCTCGTTTTAACCGAATCGCTTGGTATGTGGGTATTTCCAAAATACAAACTCTATAATCAAATGGCAGTTCGATTTTCTCAACAATTAGACGTATTAATTCAACGTTCGATTCAGACGGATCCTCATCTGATGTTTTTTGGATTTGTAGTCGATTCAAATTCGCACTACGCTCAATTTCTCTCCACCTCCAAATTTTCAATTCTTTTAAATCGGGACCTCCTCAACTCTTTGGCAGTTATTGCGACGGCAGACACTCAACTCCCACAATCAATCCAAGACGCTTCCGCCTGTTATAGAAAAGGGTCTTTCCCACTCATTTCAATCTTCGAACCACACCAAAAAGAACCAATGGACTTGGAGACCCCACACTATCCTCATCAACAAATGCAATTACTCCAAGAAACAACTCCACAACTCAATCAAACATTCTCACAACAACCAACACCTCATCAACTCCACGCGTGTTTACAACAACAAATCGAAGAGAAAATGCAATGCTCGTCCGCTTCCGATTTCACTTCCCCAAGGCTCCACACACCCCATGAAGTATCTCCAACACTCGCCGGAATTTCTGAATTGTCCAAAGAACGAATCCAATCATTACCAACACCTATTCACCCGTCCAGACTCGGCGAACCAAGAAAGAAGAGATGCACAACTCCAAACCGAATGGTCTCATTCCAAACAGTCAAAGAGACTCTCGACGACTCAACCAAACTCAAAATTATGTCAGCCATCTCACCAGATGTTCGGCCTTGAACCATTTATTGTATTGTGGATTATATTAATTATAAGTTTGCATGTCACCTTTGTTTCAAGCAATAAAGCTAAATGAAAACCAAAGTTCGATAATTAGAAGTTAGCAGAGAGCAAATAACTCATCACATCATGAATGACCTCCGCTATTTGAAGGCTTGTCGAGCCTACACCGACTTTATAACTTCCGCCGATGATATCAATAAAGATACCAACGTCTTTACCAAGCACATTGCCACCAGCCAAAATCTGATTTTGAGCAGGCTTCACCGCGAAACCATAGCCGGTCAGCAATTGTCCGATATCGTTTGTACTCAACGAGGTTTGCATTTGTGTTTGGACAAAGCATTCGGCCAATTCAGTCTTCCCACTTTCATTCAAGAACGCGACGTTCGGATTTGGTTGGACGTAACGGATTAATGTGATTGGTAAACTGAATGCCAATTGGATGTTATTGCCACCAATTGTGTAATTCATCCCAACCATTGGAGCTTGTAAGAAAACGTCTTTCGCTTCAAATCTGCAAAGAACTTGTTGTTGCTTTTTCCCTTCGATATTCAATTGGTTGTTTTGAATCATACAATTGATACCGTCTTCACCTTTTAAGGCGATTTGCCCAGTAATAGTCTCATCCTTGGTGTTCCCGATATACAGCGCAACATCAACAACATTCCCCGTTTTCAACCGCATCCCAATTTGAATATTAGCGTCTTGGAAGATAACTCCTTCCTTCTGTGTTAACAGCTTTTTGTGTATGAATCGGACCTTTTTACCCAATTCAGCATCTGCAGCAGAATGACTGAATGCACTGCCTTTATACCCTCTTTCAGTCCACTCAGTTTTGTCCAATTGTAATGCAGCCTTCGTTGGAATTTGCTGGGTAATAGTACTTTGAGGTATCCCTCCCAAGATATCGACCAACATGGCATTTGCATTTTCGGGTGCTTTCTGTGTTGTTGAAGGCGTTGAATTGATCACTGAATTTAGGATATCGCCAGAGGTTTTTTGTGGCTCTTGCGGTGTTGGAGAAACAAGTTTCTCTTGACTCATGAACTTTTCGTCGTCTTTCTTCTCGCGTTCATTCGCTTTGCCTTCGTTTTGTTCGTTGATCACCCTCTCCGGTAATGGCGCAATTGCGATTTCGTAATAATTTTTGTCCATTATGTACTTAAACTCGGATGCACGTTGTTGGACCTCGGCGTCCACGGCATTCTCGCAGATCTTAAGTGCCTTAGAAACAGTTGGTCTGATGTCTGGAAGTTCCTTTGCCATTTTAATTAAGCAAGTCAATATGAGTCTTTTTGTAGCCGAGTGGACGTAAGGTAACTGCTTTGCGATGTATGTTGCAGTGTGTTGTGCAAGGTTGCCTAAGCACTGTGCATACTCCCCGATGATAACGCATGACATTTTTAAGAATTCTTCATGCCAACATCCACCAGCCAATACCTGTACTATCTTTTGAACAGCATATTGTGCTGCATGTCCTATAGAGTTTAACACTCTATCCCATAACTCGGGGCGAACAAACTCCCCACCAAGACACGTTGCTAACAACATGGTGTCAACGTACCACTGATCTTTGTCAACATCCATCTCAGACAAAATCGAGATCTTGACAACCAATTCTTCTTTCAATTCACCTTCATCGTTTTCTAACACGTGAAGTAACTGGTTGACAACTTTACGAACTGACTCTGGAGTACACAATGAGTATAACACCTCAATAGCACGTCTTCTAATGGTCACATCCGTCTCTTCCAAACTATTCAAAATGTGTACCAAGTAGTTTTGGCAGACCTTCTTGTAGTTGGCTTGACCAAGTAACACGAACGTGTCAAGTGCTAAATACCTCACGTTGACTTCTTTGTCCTCCACCAAACTTCCAAGAAGGGGTAAAAGTGTCTTGAAATACTCTTCCTTTTCGTGGACAATCATTATCCCCATTACCTCAAACACAACAGCCATTTGAATCGTCTTTTCCGAACATGGCTTGTCATACTTTACAGTATCCGTTTGTTGCAAAACGACCGACGCACATTCCCAAAACATTTTCTTTTGTTGTTCATCAAGTTGAACGCCAGCAAGAAGTCTGAACAACTTGATTTGAAGCCAAGGCGACAACGTTCCGTGGTAATCCAAATCTGCAATAGCTTCGTGGTTGACCAATCTCTGTAATGAACTGATTAACTCGGGAATGAATGGTTTGAGTAATTCCGGTTCCTTTTCGACAATAGCTTCCAAGAAGAGAACGAGTGAATTGATGATTGAGTTGTCCATTTCTCCAGAGAAGAGTTTCTCCATGACTTTCATGAAGTCGGGGTTGATGGACAATATCTGCGGTTGTTGTTTGTATAATTGTCTCATTGCAATTAAAGCGCGTTTCTTCACAGAAGTCTCACAAAATCCAGTACAGATTTTAACCACAGAAGGCCCGAGAGTATCTGCCATTTCAACATTCGCCAATTGCGCAATTACTGAAAGAGCATCATTGACATACGACTCTAAGTTGTTCTCTAAGTCTTGTTGTAACGTGTTAATAATCATTCGGGTCGACTCGGGGACGTTCGAGAACAGTAAAGTGAATGCCATATATCCAATGTGTTTGTCGAAAAACTTTGGACTTCCGATGAGTTGAATGACCTCCACAAAACCAGTGTCGACCTCATATCCTAACACTTCTATATACGCCATTTTTAATACACTTTTCCGACGGTCGTACGCATTCATCTTCCCTTCCTTGAACTCTTTTCGTATCTTTGCTAACTCGCAGTTGACTACCTCACGCTCTTTCTCAATAGTCACACTACGGTGGACCGCCTCGGTGAAATTCTGAAGACCACGAATATATGTCTTTGCGTTCTCCATCTTGGATATTACAGTTCTCGGTTTTCCTTTTTTCTGTTTGCTTCTCTCTCTTCTATTACTCGTTCAGAAGTTTTTTATATGTCTCTTCTTTCCTAATTTATCAATCTCAAATTATCTAACTTTTCAAATTCTTGAAGATGCCATCTATTATTTAAATGGTTTATTTATTGGTTATTTTACCATTTGTTAATAATATCAAGTTGAATTAGAAAAGAAAGTTTGATTTGAAATTTCGATTATTTTTGTATATTTTTGAAATAAATAAAATTAAAAATTAAAAAATAAAAAATAAAAAATAAAAAAAAACAATAAATAAAAATTAAAAAATAAAAAAAGATTGAGGAATAAGTTAAACCTCAAAGACTCAACTTTAAAAAAACCCCTCAGAACTTTAAAAAACCAAATGACACGACAATTCACACAAATAAAAGAGTTTTTGGGACGCACTGGTGGTTCCATAGAAGACCCTCCAAATGTTGATTATGAGAATTTTCGTATATTAGTAGTTGGAGCTGGAGGACTTGGATGTGAAGTCTTAAAGTCATTAGCGATGGTTGGTTTTCGAGACATAACAGTGATAGATATGGACACGATTGAGTATTCCAATTTGAATCGGCAATTTTTATTCCGCCGCAAAGATGTTGGGAGACCCAAATCCGAGGTAGCTGCTGAGTTTGTGATGCGTCGTGTACCTGGGTGTCACATTTCACATATAGTTGGACGTCTTGAAGATCAGCCGGAGTCCTTTTATAAATCGTTCAAATTAGTGATCAGTGGGTTAGATAATTTAGGAGCACGACGGTGGACGAATTCGATGTTATGTTCCTTAGTTAAAACCGAGAATGGGGAGGTAGACCCATCGACAGTCATTCCATTAATAGATGGAGGTACTGAAGGTTTTCAAGGTCATGTTATGGTAATAGTACCTGGGATAGCTGCATGTCTAGAATGTCAAGTCTCTTTATTCCCACCAGCCAAAACCTTCCCGATGTGTACTATAGCAGCACAACCAAGACTTCCAGAACATTGTATAGCTTGGGCTTCACAAATAGCTTGGGACAATGCTACTATTAATAAAGCTTTTCCATTGGGTACTAAAGTCGATGCGGATAACCCCGACCACGTCAAATGGATTTATGAAAAAGCTCTTGAAAGAGCTCAAGAGAAGAATATCAGTGGAGTCACTTATAAATTAACACTCGGAGTCATTAAAAATATCCTCCCAGCTATCGCGTCGACTAATTCATTAATTGCTGCTCAAACGGCTAATGAAGCGTTTAAATACGCTACGGGCGCAGCTAACAATCTTGAGAATTATGTCAACTACTTCGCTAGAGATGGAATTAATACTACAGTCGAAAATTTACAAAGAAGACCAGAGTGCTTCGCGTGTGGAACTAAATCAGTCGATTTGGTACTTCCACTCCACACTACTTTACAAGACTTGGTCGACAGACTCACCGATAACCCACAAATCCAGCA